ATAAAGCTATTATTTTCTTGACTTGGCTAATTAAAGATCTGCAAAGTGTGTTATTACTCCAGCATCAGTCATAATAACATGATACAGCTGAGTGCTAGATATTGGTCAGAAAATCATGTGACTGACACTTTTTTTTGCCATGGCTAGGGTATTACACTATTATCAGCTGAAATGAGTTATAAATTGGTCTATCATAATTTTATTGCAGATCTTGAAAATGATAGCATATTAAAATTATTAAAATATGATGTATTCCGCAAGTTGTGGCACTAATTAATGTCTCATATTCAAATCATGAGTCCAAGAACAGATTTATATGATACATGCCAACATTTTCGGAATGGCTTATAATACAATATTCGCAAGGAAGAAGAAGCGAAAGATTTACTAAAAAAATTCAAAGAATATCTAGTTAAAGCTAAGTTAGAGAGAAATTATTACAACAAAAATACGAAATTAGCAGAACAACAGAGAAAATTGGTAGATATAACAAGAGGTAAAGCTAATTATTATAACATTGATATTACTACCCATTACAATTATGATTGAGCACAAAATGTTTATGTGCCCCATTCTGATTAACAGGTAAGTAAAATTTACTATCTTAGTCTGTGTAAAGTGCATTTATTTGGTATATAAGATAAAGCAGTACATGAACAAATTAATTATATTCTCAATGAAAATGAAATAATAGGGAAAGAGCCTAATGGCATGTTAAGCATGATATTTGATGAAATTAAGAGATTGAATAAAGGCAAAAAATATCTAAAGATTACTTATGATAATGTGGGTGATCAAAATAAAAATAATGCTATCATTTGATTTTATCTGTATTTGATAATTTACGGTTATTACAAAAGTGTTGAATTAAATTTTATGGTACCGGAACATACTAAATTCAAGTGTGATGGTAGCTTCAGACTGATTAAAAAGCTTTATCAAAAAATAACTATCGATTGCGTAAGTTATATTATTAAGATTGTGAAAAAATCAAGTACAGCAGGACTAAACAAAGCTTAGTGCTATGAAAATGGCAAAGACTTTCAGTACTTGGATCTTAATTCCATGTTGGAGATTTTCTTTAAAAAATTGAATGGTTTGCAAAAATATCAGTATTTTCTATTCGAAGCAATTAACCCTGGAATTGTCAAAGCTCAGATAGTTCATATACTGAATTTAATTTGTTAAAAACAAGAAAGATAAGTATTTCTGAAATTACCAACAAAATTAAATCATTTTCCATCCTAGTTTTAACTCTGCCTCCTTTGGATTACAAAAGACAAGAATATCTTTATCATAATATTTACCCATTTGTTAGAGATGAATTCAAGGATATTACTTGTCCTAAACCAATCTATACTGATAATGAATAAAAATATTACAGTCAACTGCAAATTTTATTACTTTATTAGTTTTATTTGTTTCTGTTACTATTAAATTCTTTATATTTAATACTTTTAATATTAAAATAATAATATAGAAATTAAAATCATGATAAATCAAAACAATATTTTAACCAAAGAGGAAATAAAAGAACTAATTGGCAGTTTAAACAGAAATCCAAGTGAGGTAGAGATAGGGGCAGTTATAGACTATTTTTGACTTCGCCCTTATGCCTTGAAACATTTAGAAGACAAAGAATTTAGAAAAAGTTTTGTTTGTTTTATTTACCTGCATAAGATTGTACTTGATGGATACAAAAAAGCTGATAAAAAAGTTAAAAGTTTACAATTCTTAACAACCAGTTTAGAGAAAGAAAGAAATGAATTGCTTGAAATAAATAAGCAATTGGAAGTAAAGTTAGAAGAAAAAGATAACAGAATAGAAGAATTGAAAGAGAGAGTAGAAATAGAATAGGAAATGTCTATGAAAGCACTAGATAAAGCTGAGAAATGGCATGAGCGAAAAAATTTTGTAATAGCTATGCAGAAGGATATTTTTATATTTAGTTAGCAACAAACAATAGAAAAATTGAGAAAGAATTTAGATGCCAGAGATGAGAAAATAGCCAAATTAACAGAACTTACGAAGTTCTAACAACTCTGAAAGTTAGCAAATAAAACTAAGGAAAAAATTAGCACAAAAGTTAATGTAATTAAAGAAAGCATTAAGGGAAAAGAGCAAAAGTTCCAAGCCTACATTTTACAATAATTTGAAACACATGTTTTGAAACAATAATTATGAAGTTGGAATATAGGATTCTTGAGATAGCAGGAGATAAACAAGATTGTAATTATTACTTATTTAGTTTTCAAGATTTTTGTTTTAAAAATAATCTTACTCTCAACATTGCTACTCATCAAGTAGCAGTATTCAAAGATAATGATGATTATGCTGATATAGCTTATATTTGTGCTGATTGTAAAAAGGATTTTGAAAATGATATTCTTTCTTATTATGAACTTTATGGTAGACTAAAGAGAAATAGGAAAGGCAGCTTTTGTAATCTGTTAGAGAATAAACCAATACAATCACTTTCTATGGAAAAAATAATATCTAGAACTTTTGGTTATTGTTTGGAAAAGAAAACTAGAGAACTAGAGAAAGAATTATCCACCACCAAAGAAGAATTAAATATTGAAAGAGAAGAAGTAGTTAAATTTCATGAGAAATCTAAAGAATGAGGTGATGAAAAAATCAAGCAGATTAAAGAACTAGAAGCAGAGAATGCTAAGTTAAAAGAAGAAAATAAACAATTAAAGGAGTAACAAAATGGTCAAGTTGCTCAAATTGAAGTTAAAGAAAATAAGAGATGATCTTGATTCAAAGTAAAGAAGTAATTTAAATTTAATAAGTAATTTTTTCTTGATCTAGATATTCCTGGAGTGTTTGAATGTTACTGATCTTAAAAACATAAGATGTAATTTTTTCGTCTTGCTCTTTTTTTAAAATACTTCTAATAGTACTGTAATTCTTGGATTCTATAGTGGACTTAATATAAATTAGTTTCATATTAATATTTTTTATATAGAGATAATCCTATATTAATCCTGTTATGATTTATATTCCTTATCTTCTGATATGATAAAGTGAGAATTAAAAAAATATTATCAATTGTACTGGTCAATTTTACAGCCACATCATAATCAGCCTCTCATTTATGTCACATAATAAAATGTTTACTTTGTCTGATTTTATTGCAGTCTGCCTCATATATTAAAATATTCTTATCTATATTAGTCTATATATCTATTTATATATTATTCAAAATTATTTATTCTAACTCAAATTAATATTATATTCAAAATAATATAAAGATATTTATTTTTAGTAAAATTAATAATCAATAAAAAATATAAAAATTAATTAATAGATATATATATAAAAAATTAGATTATATGAAGTAAAATATATAAATTTATATAACTTTTAATTAAGTTTAGTATAATTTTATAATTATATTAATAATTTATAATATTATACAAATATATATATTTTATAAACTTTTATACTAATCTTTAATTTACAAATTAAAAAATATATAATATTACTTCTTTGAGACCTATTATAATATAATGAGATTTTGTGATTATATATAAGATTAAATATATCAAAGATATTATATATAGCTTCTTTATAAAACTTAATAATTAATTTTATTTTTTATTTTATACTTTAGAATAAAATATTTTTATATTGTAAAATAAGTTTTTGAATAATTCTTTAAATTATAACTTTTTTAAACTTATTATTTCAATTCTATATATATTTTCTATTAAGTATCTAAATCAGAAAAAGTATTTAAATTTGAAATTATATTAGAATCAGATTTAAATTCAAAATTTGAGAGAATTTTTTTGATTATATTTATTATTTCTTTCTTCAATAAATTAGACTTATATGAGTTATTTTACTAAAACTAACTTTATTAAAATCTTTATCAATTAATAGAATACTTATATTATCTATAATAATTTTATCATAATATTTATAGATTCTGAAAGAAAACTCAAAAATAATCTTTATTTTATATATTTATAATTATTCTTATTTTAGTATCAAATTAAATGATAAATTTTTATAAATTTAAAAATTAATTACTTTAGTATCATATAAGCTTTATCACTTTTCTTTATAATAAAACTATAAATCTAAGTATTTTATTTTTTTACAGATCACATCTTCATTAGATAGATTTTTAACTCATAATCTTCTTCAAGCTTATCAAATAAGCTTTTGCTAATAATATTAAATTTAGATATTATATTTATTAATACTTTAACTAGAATTTTTTCTTTTATAAGTATTTTTATAAAAACTATATATATATTATTTAATGATATATAAAATAATTGAAAAAATAATTATTATTTATTAAAGAGATACTATTTATTATATGATATTATCTAATTAATAAATTTATTTATCTATATATAATATAATAATATAAAATAATATAATATAAATAATTAATATAATATAAATTTATATAAATTAATATTGATATATCATAATATAAAATTAACTATATTATTATATAGATTCTGATTTATGTAATATTAAATATGGAATTAGATTTTATAATTAGTGAAATTAGTAATATATGAAATTAGTAAAGTTAATATATATAATTAAATATAATAATATAAAATCTCAAATTAATATATTATTAGAGAAGATAATTTAATATAGAGTATATTGAATATATTAAAATATATTAATAAAATATTAACTAATAAATCAAAATAAAATAATTTATTAGTCTTGATAATATAAGATTTTAATGAGAATAGTAGAAGAAAATTTAATTATAAATAAAGAAAATTTTAGAATAAAAGCAAAATAGAATTATAATTAAAAATTAATTTAATAAAATTATAAAATAATTTATCATTATAATAAAAGTTCTTATTAAATAAAATAAAAATTATTATTATTCTTAAATAAATATATATATTTTTTCAAATTATTATTAATCTATTTTTATATTCTTTATTAATAAAATAATCTATCTTAAGACTATAAATACTAAATAATAAAATTATAATATCATAATTAATAAATTATTTTTTTAGATAGAAACTAATACTATAATTTAAAGAATCTAATTAACTTAATAAAGAGTTAATATATTAATTAATAAAATTATAAATTAATAAAAAATTAACTAGAAAAATAATTTATAATCATATGATTTCACAGATTACTTAATAGATTCTCTATATCTATTTTATCAGATAATAATGTAATATAAATCTGTATTAATAATCTTTAAAATTATACATTATTAATAATTTTTAATATTATATATCTTATATATTTTAAACTTTAATAAAATATAAAGCTTTTTTAACAAGTCTTAATTTTAATAAAAATTTCTTTTATAAAAAATCTATTAACTTATATAAGAGTTTTCAAATATTTATACATACTATAAATAATTAATATATTTTAATATTAACTTAAATTATCAAGAATTATTAAAAGAAATATAAGCTGTATAGAAATAAATTAAAAATTAAGATAAAGTTATTATCTGAGAATAAATTAAAATATCTTATTTCATATAATTTAATTCTATTAGAATCTTATAGTTTTAATATCTATTATAAATTCTTTTATATTAATATTTATATTTAACATAATAAAAACTCTCTTATAAGTATTTAATAAGATAAATATTATTACTAAAAATATAATTGAATAAAATAATATTATTATTAAAATCAAAAAAGCAAGTTAATAATTATATAAGTTTAAATAATTATATATATAGAAATTTAATAATGATTTGAAATAAGTATTAATAACTAAAATTAAAGAAAAAAAGAAAATTATTAATAAGAATAAAGTAAAACTAAAGAGACTCAAATATTATAAAAATTTAAGCAAGACTTAAAGTAAAAAAGTAAAAAAAAACTTGAAAAAGAAAGTATTATTAAAGAATATAACAAATCTGAATAATTATTAATAGTGATTTTATATTTAGTTCTATAAGATAATATTTATAATTATATTAAGTTTGAAACTGCTTATATAAAAGAAAGAAAGATAATAATTAAAGTTTATATAATCAAATATCTGTGTGAAGTATTAGAAGAAAAATATATTATTTATTTTTCATATCAGTATTTATCTATATATTTAAAATTATAATATAAATATATTTTTGTCATTTGTTATTACTGTTATCCTACAAAAGTTAGTCTTATATTAGTAACAAGAATTAATATAAAATAAAATGTGAATAAATATTATTACTTAGTATTTGTTAAAGTAATATAAGCTTTTACTAAGTTTTTTATAAGTAATTTTATTATTATTTTTTAAGATAACAAGACAAAAGTCAGTTTAGATATTCTTATAGTAAAACAAATATTTAAGATTATTCAAATAGTGAATAAATTTGTGATAATCAAAAATCATAATTTTTTTAAAGAAAGTTAAATAAAACTTGTATCTTTAATATATCTTTTCATTAATTCTACTGATTTAAATAGTACTTTTAAAATTGATCAACTTATTATTTTTATATAATCAGAATATTTTACTAATATGTTATTATTAACTTATATAATAGATTTATTAAGTCTTATTATTAATTTATAATTTATTTCTATTATATTGAGAAAAAATAAATTAAATTTATATGAATTTTTCTTATTAATAGTAAGTCTGATAAGAATTTAAAATACTTAAAAATATTATTAAGTATTATAATCTATTTTATTTTTTGAATCTTAATTATTTAATTATCTAAATATATATCTTAAAATAAAGTATTTATAACTCTGTAAAATATAGTATAGTTTTTCTTTTAGATAAATCAAAATAGGTGCAGTTGTAAGATATTATTTGATTTTTTAAAAAGCTTCTTCTTTATCTACAGTTCAAATAAATAATTCTTTATTGTGAAGTAATTTGAATAGAAATGCAGTAATTTGAGAAAATTCTTTAACAAATTTTCTGTAGTATCCAGCTAATTCAAGAAATGATTAGAGTTTTTTAATAGTTCTTGATTGAGAAAAGTCTTGTATTTTCTAAATAGTCAATAGATTAGGGGAAATTCCTTCTTCAGTTATTACATGTCCAAGGAATAGTAATTCTCTTCTACAAAAATTATATTTTTTTGGATTGAGTTTCAAATTGATATTTTTAATTCTGCAGAATACTTTGTTGAGGTCATTCAAGTATTCTTCAAAATCTTTTGAGAATATATTCAGGTTATTAATATACATATTAGCAAAATTCTAATTATATTCTCTTAGTACTATATTCATAGTATGTTGAAAAGTTGCTAGAGCATTACATAATTCAAAAGGCATAATATTGAATTTAAAAAGTTCTTTTCTAGAGATGAAAGTAGTTTTAGATTTGTCTTTTTCTTTCATTTTGATTTGTCAATATCCAGAAGTTAAATCCATAGATGAAAATCAATGAGTATTTTCAAGAGAGTCTATTATTTCATTAATTTTTGATAATAAGTAAGCATCTTTTCAGATGATTGCATTTATTTTTCAGTAATTAACACAAAATTTTTTCTTTTTATTCTTTTTAGAGATTATAATAATAGGTAAAGCTCAAGGACTAGTTAATGATCAAATAATATTAACTTCTAACATTTTTTGAATTTCTTCTGATATGAATAATTGATCTGAAAGGGTAGTTCTATAAGATCATTATT